CAGGATGTGCATTAAATGGCAGAAACAATAACATTTGCATCAAAAAGAAATCACAAAACCTAAGTGTGAGTGAGAACTGAAAATGCCTCATGGAGCCAGTTGGGAACAATAGGGCCTTTCAGCTACACTGTGTCTCTTTTCTCCCAAAGGCCACCATAACTTCAATGTGTCAGAATATGACGGTTTTCCTTCTCTAGGTATTGTAATGATGACATTAGAATTCTGAACTTTCACCCTTTCTTAAACAGCAGCAAACAACCCAAAAAAAAAAGAAGTATAATAAAGCCAGATATGATCAATTATAAAAATGCTTCACCACACAGTTAAATGGTTAAAGCTCTGAACAACAAAGGCTTCACAAATAGCACACAGACTTCAAAGGAATGTATCAAATGTCTAGCACCATCTGCACAGTGTGAGGAGTCTGGTTCCAGCAACAGCAGGATCTGCGTTTAAGCTATTCAGCGCTGTTGATGAAGTGTGCACATCGGAAAAGAAGATTATCCGCCTTTGAGCTCCCAGTGCTGATTTGAGAAACTGCAGTAGACCAAAGAAACTATTTTCGGAGAAAAGTTCCTGTATTGCTTTTATTTGCAATCAATGCAATCTTACACAGTACACTGCGTCTGGACTGTTACCTTCTATACCATAGTTTTATTACCACAGCATGAAGACGAACTTCATTACAGTATTAAAACAGCTGGCTCATGAGTACTTCCTGACCTGACTCCCCAAAGAGCAAAGAGATTTGCGAAGCACAAACTGGAGTGTTGCTATCTGAACACGCATTTTTGAAACGAAGGTGCAGGAGTGGTCTTGCAATCAGCACCTCAAAACCAATGTCAGTTTGAGAATAAATTCAGACTAAAATCTGACAGTAAAACAAACCGCCCTGAAAATTCCTTGCTTTTCTGGCAGGTTGTATAATGCAGCACAGGTATAGCACTTCCATCTGAGGAAAGCTAGTTCATCTGGGACTTACTGAAACAATATCTGCAATGCATCGATTCAGGTTGCCCTTATCATCCTTGATGGTAATTGGTCGGTCCTCTTTAATTCTTTCCATGGCCAATGGGCAATCCAGCTGTACAATCAAAAACAGACATTTATCACTATAGACAATTTATTAGCTGAAGAAAAAACATCTTTCAGCGCCATTAGAAAACACAATCATCCCAACACTTTCTAGTATAAATTGAAATGAAATTTTGAATGAAATTTTCAAACAGATGGGTTTGATCCAAGTATTTAAATCCTTAAATGCACTGAATAGACTCCTGAGCATCGGGAGACACCAGTGGAAACTAAACGGAAGAGCATTTAAAACCGGTAACAGGAAGCACTTCTTTATACAAAGGGACGGGTCTGCTTGGAATAAACTAACTAGCCATGTTGTTGAAGCCAAAACTCTGGATTCTTTCATGAAACGGCTGCATCAGATCCTTCAATCGGTTTGATAAATACCAAACAGGCAGGATGACCCACATGGTCTCCTCTTGTCTGTGCCCTTTGTTAACTCAACTCCAATTTGAAAACAACTGGGGCGCAGTAAGAAAATCATCACTTCAACAGACTGCAGAGTTCAAACTGCATGAGCGTTAAAATAGTTATGCAAGTGCCAATTGATTTCTAACAACATATAACACATTGATGATCAGATTTAAATTCCTAAATAAACAGGGGTTAACTTCCAGGGTTTTGATAAAAGCAAAATGAAAAGGAGTGGGTTCAAGTACACTTTAACCTACAAAATGATTTCTCTGGGCGGGGGGGAGGACACCCTTCATGTCCTTCATAATATTAAATAATGCTTTCTCATATTTTATTGCTTCCTGGGTGTCCCAGCTACAATTTCCCCTAAGCATATCATTTCTTCATGTCTCATCCGAGACTGGGACACTTATATATGACCACCATGATACACTCACACAGGATGTTATCTGAAGTAAAATATAATCACAGGAATGTGTTTATAAAAACAAATCAACAAACGGGCTGAGTAGGGGTGTGGTAATCAGCACAGCCCTGCCTGGAGTGTTTATGCCTTACACACCAATAATTATTCCAGAAAAACAGTAGTTTGTCTCACTAAAGATAATTTTCAAAGAAAATGAGAAAATATCCCATTTTGAACCATAGCAGTCCCTGTCACACTTTCCAGCTTTGGAAGTGTGGTGTATGAATACACAAACCCCGCTATGCTGTACCTATTGATGTTGTATATGTGCCGGAGGAGAAGAGAATTTTCTGATGCCTTTACATAACCAGGTTTAAAAGAACAAAATACTAACTTGTAATGGCCTCTGTCCAAAGTCAAACCAACAACTGCACCCTAAAAAGCATAATCCGCAGAAGAACTTGGTGCTCTCTTTGTCTCTTACCCTGTACTTCCTGCAGAAATCATCAATGGAGCCCACGTCTGACCCCTGGACTTGTTTGAAAGCAGCCTTGTACTGGACCAGCAGTCTGGAGCAAGCCGCTGTGTACCTGAAGACACACATTCGTCACTCTTATCAGTATCTGGCCATCACCCGTTAATGCAGTCTTCCCTCCTGACATACAGTTTCTTCATGTCAGGCTCTTTGATCTCCTCAAGATGACGACTAAGTTAATTAATCTATTTTGAACTATTTCTGTTATTTGACGGAAGAGTTGGTGTTAGGTATAGTTGGTGCTGAAGTGAAAGTTTATTTATATTGGTTTCCAATGACTCTCCAATTAAATAAATTTTCTTTAAAACACTTTCATAAATGCTCGATTCTCCTCAAGCTCTGTCGCATATATCTTGGGTGAAAAGTATGTTATGCAATCTCAGAACTGGATTTCTTTTGTCAATGTTCCATTTAAGATGTTTTCCAAGATAATTTTTATTGCCTTTTTTGGTATTCTGATGTGATACCAGTGCAGTTCTATTCTGCATGTAGCTGCAAGAGAATTTAGTACACGAACCTGACTTCACTTTCAAAGACACTCAAATTCCTCATGTGAAATGAACTGAACGTAAACCGGAAAACAGAGTTTGATCACAAATGAACTCCAACGAAAAGCAAAGTCAGTGTGGAAGTGCCTTTCAGGCTCATTAACTTGGATCTTTGAAGAAGTACACCGTGGAGATAATTTGTTCATAAAGCGTCAAGCAGGGCCGATGGAGAAAATATACCCATCACTGCACAGAGAGCGCAGGTTGAGCTCTGTGATCACTGGTTCGACTCTGCATCATTTCATTGGCCGACTGTGACCGGGGATTCCCAAGATGCACAGCACAATTGGGTCAGGATCTAAAGAAGCCTAACTGGCTATTCTAAATTGGGAGGGTCAGAACCAAAGAAAACTGAACATGTTAAATAAAAAACTCAAAGCAAACGTCCAGCCAAGAAGGACCGAAGGGGATGTCCACTGTTATCCACTGAAAATAATTCAGCAATGGAATATATCAGCTGCATATAGCTTAATCGAATATGAAAAAAACACAGTAATAAAGACTTGGCTCTGAGATGCTAAACGACAGAGTGTTTTTAACACTGCTGCATAAACTTACTCATTTGGAGACACACAGTCCTTAATGTAAGCCTTCTCAAGAGCTTGAAGAGTCTTCACTACCGCAAAAAGCTCAGCCATGTTATCGTACCTTAAAGTGCACAAAAGAAACATATCAAGAAAACTGTAGTAAATTAAGTTTTTTAGAAAGTTCCATTCACAAAACATTTCTTAATAGAAATGACAAATTTGCACTGAGAATTTATTCCTGTTATAAACAATGCAGCAGTATAATTTATATAATATCTACACGATAAGCTGTCCTTCTCTTCAGTCAGACTTATGCATGTTGTTCACTTACAAATCATTGGCATTTGAGAAGATTTAAGATAAAGCACTACATTACTCTGTTATTGTTTTCTATTAGGGGGGTTTTGAGCAGGCACATAAAGCCAAGACTGGAAATTAAGGCTTATATATAATGAAAATGATCTCATGTCTCAGACTCCAGTGGTTTCTTTTGTGAAATTACAGACTTCTTAAAGTAGTAGTCTGACCTAATGCCGGAAAACCAAAACAAAGTTCAGCATCACTGATTATTTTCACAAGTATACAAGGAGCTATCTTGCTCAATTACATCAGGAGATTGTGCCTAATAACAGAACTTACTTTTCCCGCTCCCTGGCATTTTTGTACAACTTGACTTCCTGTGTTAGGGAAAAAAATATTTAATTTTTTAAAAGAAATTTGATTACAGCACATAGAACTTTAACAATCACATTCCATTTGCACGCACAACATAAACACACAATATATAGTGCTTCCAGATATATTGCACATATAAACACAAAAAGAGAGACTTACCTCATATAATTCTGGTTTATTAGCTGGGGCTGTAGAAAAAAGAGCAGGCAGGTTATTTCTGAGTAAAAGCTTAATAAGATCGAGCTAAAACTTGAACTATAGGCAAGATTTTCACAAACAAATGTTTCAATCTGGCCTTGGAACCAGGTGGAAACTGTATGAGGACATATCCCAGGTACATTTCTTTATATATTTTTGTGCGCAAATATATTACTATTTTCAATGTTGTTTAAATGTTGCACTAAAAAATTCAATGACATAGTGATTTTCTGTGAGCGTGTCTTTTTATTGTGAGTTGACGTTATCTGTGCTACACGGCGACTCTCACCTCCGGAGCCTCCACTGGCCGAGATCCTGTGAAACATGGTGACGGATTTGTATCTCGCACAATTCTGTAACAAACAGTATGTCCGGTTACAAAGTCTGGCCAGGAAAAGGCATTATTTGTAATAAAGGAGTTGTTGTTGTTTTTGAAAATGAGAATATTCTTTTCTTATTTTACAATATCCAGGCAATTACTGCTTGTCTCCTAAAACAGACAGCAGGCTAAAACAGCGAACGTGTATCTTCTTACATTACTCGAAACTCGAGCAGAATTCGGCCTGTACAAATCCCTTTGGTATGGTAGTTACAAATTACAAACTACAAATTACAAGTTACAAACTGTAGCAGCAGAATGTAATGGACCCGACATTAATTTGTGTATGATTTTCTTAAAAGACATTTAAGTCGAAACCTAATAAATCATTTCCCTTCTTGACGGCAAACGAATGCCCCTTAGCGCATGCATTTACAGCCATTTTTTAAATGTCAAAACAGTCTATCACTTCAACAAATACACACATGCATTTCAAAAACCGAAAAGATCAAAAGATCATACGCTTTTAAGTATTTACAATGACAATTAAAAGAAATGTAAAAAATAGACCATACTTCCTGCTCACCACTCTTGAGTCCCACTGACGTCACCACAACAAACCCTTGTCGGGTGATCGACGTCTCTCTTCCACTCTTTGCGTTGTCCAAATACTGCCAGTATTTTATTCAACAGGAGTTAAAAAAAGGGTAGGAGAAACGCGTATACAGAAAAGAAAAATTGAAACATTAAAGTAAATCTCTAGAATGCAATTAAATGTACACTTCATACCCTGTATAGTTATTTATACAGGCAAGATATAGACACCTATACACAGAATAAGACAAAAGACCCAACTTTAAAAACAAGCGGGAAGGGTTTTGAGCAGGTTTGTATTAATCCTTTCCATTTTTTAGTAACTTAATTTTTCCTAATACTGGAACAGTGCGTGCTTTTTCAACAAATCTCTGTGGACAGAAACTGACTTGGTGTTTGAAGTCGTCGTTAAATCATTGAAAGACGAACGGTAAACTTTTACGCGAGCGATAGCAATAGCGTTTGTTAGTTGAGCTAACAGAGCATGTGCTGGTGTACCGAAATTCTTTTATTTATGTATTTTTTTTGTTTTTAACAACCGTGACTAAGTAATTTTCTAGTCGTTTTCATTGTCATTTTATCTATGCAGCGCCTTTAACGTGCAGTTACTTAAGTTATGTTTCATTCTTTACTCAGAGCATGCTAGCTTACTTAGTACATGAATCATTTGTACGAGTAATTAAAATGCATGTTTTCAACACAAGTGGTTTCCCGTAATACAGTTTTGTTACTTAGTTATACGTTTTTAATGAAAAAATGGAAGTGCTCACTGATGTCTGTTATCAAATTTAGGCACGATTTAGGATTGACTGCAAGCAGACTGTTCGTCATTGTGCAGGAGTTAGTTTTATTGTTACTGTTCTAGTTGACATATTTTTGTCAAATAAGTAGTTTTGAGTTGGTTTAGGGTGGTATGGTAGCGCAGTTGGGTAATGTAAGGCAATTCCCATTTCTGAACTGGTTTGAGTTTCACAAGCGCCGAGTTCTCTCTCATTTTTCTCTCTTATTTTCTGCAGACGTTTCCGGGAGTGAGTTTATTGTGCCTTTGGTCATGCTGTAGGTGACAGCCCGTGTGTTGGGAAATCTCTAACAAGAGTCATGAAGAAGAGAAAGTCATCCAGCCCCGTGACGGAGGAATGTGGTGTCTGGCTGGACACGGCGGAGATGAAGAAGAAAAAACAGGTACTGGGTCCTCTGTAAAGTTAAATACGCACCGCCCTCGTGGTCTCATTGAAATGGAAGAATTCAGGAGGCATATATTTTAATTTGCTTTTTATTTTGGTGCATTGTAAAAAAGCAAGCCATTAAGCTTGTTTACTGAAGAAGACTAAGATTTTTAAAACGTCTTATGGGTTTTGAGATACTCGTATCATGATGAAGAGTATCTTTGGGTATATCATGTTTAAGGTTATTTATCCGTATTTATAGATAATCGTCTATAACTGATGGCTGTAGAATTCAATCAGAACAATAACTGTCTGTTTTTCTTTCTAGCCAAATCTGACTCGCCCCATTTACAAGGCACTGAACCCCTTTGCAGGAGGTGGCTACAACATAAACCTGTCTCTCAGCTTTACACAGACCAAACATCCATTGCCTGTCACAAAACAGACCACCATCTCGTCCTTCTTTGCTCCACGGCGCACAGGTACTGTAATTTTTTACTTTTGCAAATGATCCTTTTAATATTTCTGTAATTTTAAACTGCAGATTTCTCACACTTCATTCAATAAATAAAGTAATTGTTACACTCTGATGAACACTATTTAATTATAAAATTGAAACTGTATCAGACTGTCTCAGACTCTACTGGCTTTAGGCTTTATTCAATGTATTGGTCTATTGAGGTGCTCCATTAGAACTTGCATTAGGATTACTTTTTAAACTGTCTTACTTGTTTTTAACTTCCAGATGATAAAAACAGTATGGCCTCTGACGCAGGTCCTGATCGTCCAGGCTTTCCTTCAGCACTATGGTCCGAATCTAAAGCAAGAGAAGAGAAATGGAAACTTTGCCTCGATGAGCCCCAGGAATATCATCACTGCTCTGCTTTTGCTGATTCAGTGGGGCTGAAAGAGGATCCCAACAGCTCTGTTCCTCAGGTCACTGAATTTGACACGTCAAGGCATGAAGACGATAAACATGGCCATTACGAGTACAGTCGGAGAAATGAGAATAATTGCAGTCTCGCTCGCGATTGTGCTCCAGATATGACAAGCCTTGCATTCCTTTCAGATGGGGAGAGTCAATCTGATAGTTTGGAGCCTCTCCAAGACCCCTTGGATAAGGGCAGTCTAGGTTCAGTGGATTGCACCATGTCAGAAGTGTCACGTGCTTCTGAGCATCACAAATCTGTCAATCCAGGTAAGTATGACTTCCAGGCAGAGTGTGCTGAACGTTCAGAAATTTGGAGTGGGGCCATAGAGGAGGCCCTGACTTGGCAGCATGCGTTCACACAGGATTCTCAGGGGAATCGAGTTATTGCGCGTTGTGAGGCGCCTCAGCCACCCACCAAGAAGCGTCCCCAAGGAAGTGATGAAAGCCACGACTGGTTGAATGGAGAGGCAGCGAGTCTCAACTCGGAGACGTTTTGTAGGAAACTATTGACTCGGGAGGGTTGCACGTCTACACAGAAGAGACCTGACAGTTACTCCGTAGCTCCAAAAATGTCTCAACCTGAGTTCCAGGTGAGCTGGGAGGAGTCTTTGGCTTTGGACAAGGAGAACATTTGCTCATCTTCTTGTTTTGGATCTCCAAAACGGCAGAACACCACTCGGGGAAGGTCACCTCTTAAGGACAGATTGTTCAGTTCTGCTGGTATGAATGGGGACCTGGAGAAAGAGTTAGTGTCATCTCCAAAAAGGGCCCGCATGGCCAAGAGTCAGTTCAGTACTCAGGCAATGCTGTTTACTCAGGATTCCCAGGGAAACAGAGTTATAGCTCATCGCGGGTGCCCGCGTAGGATGGGGAGAAGTCCCCTGAAAGACCGAACCAGCTGGACCCAGAGAGGGTGGGAGAGTCCGGCGAAGATCTCTCGTCCGTGGCTGAGAGAGGACAGCCGGAGCAGCCTGGATTCGGACTCTGAGGCAGAACTCTTATTCACGCAGGACTCCGAGGGAAACATGGTCATTAAGCACTGAACTTAAATCTTTTCAAAGGTACAAATCGCAAGTCTACCTGTATGTGACAGTCATTTGATCTCTTCTGCCGCTTAGGCACCTGTGGTTTTTCGAATGTTTGCTCAAAGGATTTTTGGAGGTGCAGTAATTTTGGGCAAATTCTTTATGCATTACATGCTAAATTCTTATTAATACAATTTTTGAACTGAAAATTCCTAATTTACGTTTTACACAGAATAAAAATGTGGTGGTGAAATCTGGACATGTTGTAATTTTTATTCTTTATTCAAATAACCAGTTATTCATTTACTCTTATGTTTAATGTTTTGAGGTTTTGGAATTTACTGGTACGCACTTGCTTTAAAATGGGAGATTGAATCTCGGGACCAGTGCCCATATTTTAAAGTTTTGTAAATCTGGGATTTATTCATTGCTTTCATCACTGATACATCCTGGTCCCAGCCTTTTTTCTAATGTAAAATTACTGTTAAATTCTGACTCCAGCATCAAGTGAGAATTAACCGAGTTCAGCTGGTGGTGTAAGTACCTTGATTGTAAATTGGATTAACTGGGATGCTTACAACAGATTATTGTCATTGACTAAGTTATCTGTGTTTTCTCACTTTTGTCAGTTGTCAGAACAGCATTTGCAGCAATGTTAATTGAAGTCATTTTCAGATGTATTTTTTTCAAAACATTTAAGTTTGTTTTCAAAACATTTAGGTTTGAAAAATATTACGAAAGTGTGTCGATTTTCTGAGAAGGATGATGCAGATTTTATACTGCTCTTTGGAATTTTATTTCATTCAGTTCATTTCATAAAATGTTTTAGTAACAGTCAGTACTGAATGTTATTGTCCTGCAGTTTTAATGAATTACATGCTTGAAATGGTGGTAATTGTAAAAAAAAAAAAGTGACTTTTTTTTTACTTTAGTTTCACTAAAGCGTCATGCATTTTGCAATACATTTCTGTGCTCTTCACAGTAAAGAGCTGCTTTTCAGTCATTAATTCTGTCAAATGTTACCTTCCTGTAGCACAGAGAATATATAACCTATTCTGTGAAGGGTTTCAGTGTTTGGAACTCGAAAATGGCTGGGTATTGTTTTAGCTAATTTGGGGCTGTAATACTGTGCATTTACTGTAGTTTTTATACTTGGTTTACTCTTACATCTTCCTGCAACAGAACAAGGTGACTTGACTGTCTTTCAAAAAACATTTTTTTGCAGAACTTACTATGTACAGTAGCTAATGAGAATTGATTTATTCCACTGCTGTGCCGTATACAGCCCAGAAAATGGTACACAGTTGCAGTGCAAGTGTCTGCATTTCTTCACCTTTCTAAGCAAAGGTAAAAAAAAATGGTCCTTCCTTAAATTACGGGTGCTATTACACTATTAATTTCTGTGTGTTGTAAACAGAGGCTTATTAGGAAATATCCCCACATGGCCTACGGATGTCACTATTGCTCCATATTTTCTTACAGCTAAACCTTTTAATGGCCAATGCATTCAGCATGGTGCCAAATATTAGCATTGCTACTGCAATATCAATTTCCATAAACTCACCATTTCTCTGTTGTGCTTGCACTTTTACTTATAAAACTGTTTGGAAATATTTTTGTTTTCCGGTAGCTCTTGAAAAAGCTGATCGCATTGCTTTTGCTCCATGTCGGAAGGGGCAGATGGCTGTTTTTTCCCGACTTGTGCAGGTATACAGCAAAACACGCAGTGAACTTGTATCGGGCCTCTGGATATCTGGTTTTATTAGGTCCTTGGCCTCTAAGGTAGTGTATTTGTAATAAGGGAGGTAGAGACTTTTTAATTAGACTGCTACAGAATGAAAAGACACCATGCCTGCTATGTTGACAGTAATGCCATTCAATGCTTCATTTATGCTAAACCTGTGATTAAAGGCCTGGCCCTGAATGCGTTTATTCTCTTGATAGGAGTGGTTTTCTTTATGATTAGAATGGCCAGTAATACTTTTCTCAGAGAAACATGCTTTCCTGCTGAAAGCCAAAACGCAAAATCTCAGAAACAAGCTGTCAGAAGTGGAATCGTACCAAGACCCAGTCCTGAGTCATGTTTCCTCTTGGCAGCCGCATGGTAGTGCATTATGTAAAAAGGGCAATATGAGAGATTGCATGACAGAGATGCTGGTTAGGACGGAGGGGGACACACCCATGATCTCTGAATCTTTGCAGCACTGTAAGTAAACTGTGGTTAATTCTGTGCTTTTTATATTAGATCCATATGCTACAATCTTGCTTTTGCGAAACTTGCTTCTGAACTAGAACAAAGCATCAACATGGCAGCCCGCCAGCTTATTTAATTTGTTTTAAAAACAGATGTTCTGCGACAAAACCGATGTATCATGATTGCAAAAGGCTGAAAGATCACAAAGTGAAAAATAAGTTGTACCTTCTGACAGCTGCCTTTGCACTGAAAATAGAGGGTTTAGGATTCCTTCTATAAGATGAACACAATGACTGAGTGGCTTGATTTAAATCTCTTCACATATGGTACTGTATGTCAAAGTCACAGCCTTTTGGTGGCTGGTGTCCATGACACAACTTCAGCTAAAGGTACAACTTAAAAGTTATGATTAATTCCAGCAGTTCTTCCACTGTATTGGTATTCAATAGAGATTGCATGTGGGTGGATAGAATGTAATGAGTTTAGTCTCAGGCATTATCCAGTGATACATGGTGCAGCATTGTTACTTCTCAGTGGGAAGGCCTGGATCACAGGATCACAGGCAATACTGCAGAATTACACACAGCAGAGCTACAAGAGAGGAGTATTCAGACTCAGTACTCTAATAATAAATGTAAATGGTGGAGTGCTTTTGCTGTTTTAATAAAGAAGCAAAGGAAGTGCCTTTAAAGGAGTATTTTGTAAAAATGAAGGAAAAGATTATTCAAGAGTACAGTAAATCTGAACATGTTTGAACTCAGATTGAATCTCAGAAACTCCTATTCCTTAGTTTCTTCCTGGTGTGGAAAGACAAGCAGTCTGTTACACACATTGTACCTTCAAGCTTGAGCTAACAGCGTGCTCAAACCAGAACATAGCTGATTTGTTCCAAAGATCGGTTCCTCTTCCTGACATGGACAGCCATGTCTTTTGTGCAGGCAGGGAATGACAAGGCATTGAGTAACTGTTGGTCTCATCGACTCTTTGATTTTTAGTCTTTGGCCTCAAACAACCTTTCAAAGCACTTGTTACCAGAGTCCATAGAACAATACAAATGCATAACAAAAGCTGTCTGGGTGGCCACTTCTTTTTAATTTTGCAAGTAGTATTGTATAGGAGCTCTTTGTAGACTCGGTGGAAAGACCGTGAGGTTGTGAGACGTTGAATTGTTCACAGAAGCTCCTTTCTGGAAGGACATGCCATGTTAAAACGAAAGCTCGAGAATGGGTAATGAGGAAGGACTGTGGTTCAAAAAGGAAATCTCCACTCGCCAAAGCCCTTCTCTTTGTTTTCGACCATCCATATATTTTCTATCTGCTTCCAATTCAGGATCGTGGGGGAACTGGAGCCTATCTGGGCAACCACGGGGCGCAAGGCAGGGTGAGACCCACACAGACCAACACACCAAGGCCAATTTTCCCAGAAGCCAATTAACTTACCAGTAAGATTTGGGACTATGGGAGGAAAAAAACTAGGAAATCCGGTTGTTTCCATGATGAGGAATTCATATCCTTTATGAATTCTTTCCTCACAAGCAAACGTTAAGGAGTCCCTAAGAAAACTTGGACCCTCAAGACCCAGAGCTGAACTACATTCATCTGCACTGAAATTTAAGGCTTAACAAACTCTTATCAATAAATGGGCCTTTGCAGTCTTTTTCACATCGCCACTAGGTGGAGCTCCTGTTTCTTACTGCTCCGAGGTGTGTGTGTTTCTGCACTGGCGCCAAAGGAAGATTAGGATCTTCAATATGCAAGGCAGCAGAAAACATTTTTTAATTGAGCTTTGATGCTGGATTAATAGTATCCACACCGTTTTATATGTCCTGGAGCTATTCAGTTAGTGCTTGCGGTTTGTTGTGTAATGAACAAGCGCTCAATTGTTCCTCACGAAGCACAGAACCGGAGAAGGCTGGGCAGTGAGTGGTTTGAATTGAGCTGTGGCCAAGCGATGTGGAAAACTCTGGACAAGGGACGGAGAAGGTTATTGGGGTTGGGCTCGGAAAGGGTGTGGGCGTCTTCTCAGACGCTGGAAAGAGGAAAGGCAAAGTGTGGTGGTGGCGAATGACTCAGAGGTATGGAGTGGGAAAGGTAGCAGACTGGAGGGGCTGTCAGCATTCTGAAGGTGGTCCCAACGGGCAGAGAACAGTCACACTTGGGCAGGACTCTGTGGCACATTCCTCTAAACTCGACAATAAATACAGGCTCAAAAGTCCGCCCATCAACTAAGGACTTTTTACCTTTAACGCACAAATCTTTTATTTTGGTTGGATTCTTATCTGAAAACCTGATCTGGGTAACAACAGCATTGTGAAATACTCATCCACACTTCATTGCATAGCTTTTGCAAACTTACAGGTTTGTGTTTACAATTTATAGAGATAAGATGGACTTCAAGGTTGGTGTAGAAATCGGACTGCGAGCTGGGGTCATTACTCCTGACCTGGCTTGAGGGAGTTTTAAACAGACACCTGCTGTTGTATATGACATCACAGAAACAACTGAAAGGAAGAATAATATCAGGAATACTGCCACTAGACCATAAGGGGAATGATCACTTGAACCCCACATTCATGGTAATATCACGGCTGGACTCGGACTATAAAACCCTCTCTAACGCTGTTGTAATCTGGGGCTCTATGGGAAATAGTTCTCTTGAAATGGCCGTTTTCGTTATGAGTGATCATCTCCAAGCTTCACTGGACTGCACTGTGATCCTTACATCATATATGTATAAATTTACATATGAACAAGTAACAGGTTTATTCCATGTTGAAAAGAGAAGAAAGAAATCAGGTGTGAGAAAGACACCTGCCAATTGCTCCTTCTCTCCCAGCTTTTGTTATCCTGCTACATTACCTTTGCTTACTGCCCTGTCTTTCTCACACCTGAAGAAAGCTCCACGGCCGAAACGTTGTTTTCTTTCTTCTCTTTTCAGCATGGAATAAACCTGTTACTTGTTCCTTTGCAGCCTATGCATGCTGACGCAGCTACCCACCTGAGCTAAATTTATGTATTATATTACATAATAGTGTCAAGGCTGTAACATCACCTGTAGCACTGTAGACAATTATTTTTTAGCTCCTAATCGACTGGCAGTTGCTGGAAGGCTCCTTCTCACATTACTTGTATGTAACAGACAGTATACTGTATATACACTTACAGCTCTAGATTATATTATTTGGCTACCTTCACCTGAGAAAAATGAATGTAACAATTTTTATTTAAATGTACTTGTTTTTCAGCAGTGTGTTTTCACATTTCAGCGACCAATGATTCGTTCTGGTAAATAGGTGAATTAACTGAGTTAAAAAGGGGGTGTGGCAGTGCTTTTATGGGATCTTTGTTTATATTAATTGTTGTAATGAAGAGTCGTTGGTCAAAGGTGAAGG